CATCTTCCTGGAGAACATCTTGAATTGGGGTTTCAAAGGACTCTGACCTGGGCCCAGTATTGTTTGATGTTTTTCATAAATGATATGGATGAGAGAGTTGAAGGAATGCTTACCAAATTTGCAGTTGATGCAAAGCTAGGATTGGCTAATACTTGTCAGGAGAAAGAATGAATTCAAAAATACAGGCTAGAACAGTAGAAAAAAACAAATAACAATGGCATTTAACAGGGAGAAATTTAAAGTCATGCCATTAGTAAGAAAAGAAAAGGAATATATATATATAGCTGCAAAGAAGGCCAACACATCTTGAAGGACATTAAGAAGAGCAAAGGGTCCAGATTGCAGGAAGTAATTTTCCTGCTCTACTCTGCCTTAATCACTACACCAAATTGGATCTCATTTTTTAAAAATTAAATTTATATGCCATCCATCTCACTATCTAAAGCGATTCTGGGTAGCACAAAAATTTAATAAAGAAATAAAATCATATGGACAAAGTATAATGATAACTGCGGCTAAACCCAGACCAGAAAGGCAAACATTGTCAGGATATTTTGCCTTTCACTCAATTTGCAGAAGCAGTTCTGACTCAGAAGAAACTGATAAAAGAAAATTGTTATGCAGACACAGAGCAAATCTTACATTCATAGAGACCATCAAACAGAGAAAAGTCACAAGTCTACATGGAAACAAAACCTGAATCACAGATCCATTAACTTCGGGCTACACATAAATGTGGTAATAGTCATATACAATTAATCTAATAAATGTTCTGTGTTTGCTTTTACAGTATAATTTTTTTTACCATTCGTTGTGCTGCTATAAGTGTAGCAAGAGTACTGCGGCCAGGAGCTCCAGGAGCACAATACGACACATGGACTCTTTTTTCGTTGATAGTCAAACCATCTGTGCTTTCCTGCACTTCCTCTGTTTGTTCTGCTGTCTCATACTCAATTACTGCAAAGCCACCAACAGAGCTGTCTTCATCCTGAGCAAGCTGGAAGGACATTTCACAACACCATGAAAAGAGGCCTGTTCTGTTTCAGCTGTTCCAAAAACCATTACATTATTCCAACTGTATAACCGGTATGTCTTGGATTTGATAAATTAATATGCAGATTATTTCTCGATTCAAAGTTAATCTAATACACAAATATCGGCTGATATTCATCCCCCAATAAATACTAAATATAATAAAATATATATGAAAACAATAGATACTGAATAACCTGAGCTATAATATTGTTTTTGGTGGCAGTTATGGAGCAAGAAGAAACAGAATTAGGAACAACTTTGTAATCATGAGCATATATTTCCTTGAGATTTTATTCTTACTATGAAATACATACTGGCTTTTAAACATAATTGTATTGACACACTTTCTTATTTAAAAGCATGAAATACAATTAAATTTTACTTGATTAGTTTTAATATCTACATACGTTTTTGTGCAAGGTATAGGTTTTGTTTGTTTCTTTTGTAGCATTACAGTAGAAATATCTCCCCAACAGTTACCAGAATCAAAATACTCTAATAATAGAATATGTTTGAATTCAGTAAGGAAGATAATTTATCTTGCCAGAGCACAATAAATCTATATAGAGCAAATGTTTCACTGGAAGTGATGCCTGGCTGCACCACTTGAGTGATCATGTCAAACTGCGATCTTTTAAAGATAAGCCTCAGTTGCATTTGTTTTATGAATTTTGAAATGAACACAGATTGCCAAATATGTTAATATTTACGTTCTCATTTTTTTCCTGGACACATAGACCATTCCAATCACAAATGACTTTGAGTTACATATATTCCAATTTATTTTAGGCCATCATTCTCAAGATGGCAATGTGGACAGGACCTCCTTATGTGCTCACCATCCATTTCTTCTCTTCCCCTTCTCCACACTGATTTGGAGATAGGTGAAGAGGGAGTTTATCATTACAATTTAGGGATTTTTAGCAATCTGCACCCTGAAATAATGAGACAAATGCTTTTATTATTTTAAGGGACGCGCAGAAGGACACCTGACTGAAAATGATATAAGCCTAAAACAATAACATTAAAACAAAGCCGGCTAGTAAATACATTGAGAACCTTAAACAAGTTAATCAATTCAGTCAGCCAAAAAGGAAGCTTTCTGCAGCCAGAAAGCTCACAATCTTCAAAACTCCAAAGTCTAATGGAATAACCACATTTTAATGGGCTCTAGAAAAACTAATAGGAAAAAAGCCATTTTGATATCTGGAAGGAGTCCTCTTCCACAGAAGTTGAGCAGCAATTGAGAAAGCTTGGTTCTTTGAGTCCCTGGAGGTGTCATTCCTTGAGTAAAGAGAATTGGAAGGACCCCACTCTACCTGATCTTATCAGTGGCAGATACTATTGGAGTAAGCAATCCCATAGATATGCTTATAGGGTTTATGGTTTGTTAAGCAGCAGAATCATATGATTGCCTGAATAAAGGGCCACCATCAGTGAGCTATTGGGACAGCATTACTTGGTCTGTTGTGTGGATGCTTGGGTGGCTTTAGGGGTGGGGAATTTTTGGTGGGTGGGGGTGTGTCTGGGGATTGTCATGCGAGTTGGGTCTGGTCTCTGGGTGTTATGTGAATTTCATTGTATGGTTATACTGTGTATACACGTACATTGTACTGTGTATACACGTACAATGACAATAAACTTTATTATATGTAATAAAATATGATGATGATGAAGTATCCTGCCTATTGGTTACAGCAGATGGGTTGAAGTGTAAAGCAGTGTAACAGCAAATAAATAGCAGGTTCAGCTTTTTGGAAGAAAAAAGACAGTAAAAACAAGTTAAATTCTGTGGGGTTAGTGGCCAGCTTCTGGGTAATCTATAACTGCAGTCCTTCCCTTTTCTGCCCCTCCCCCCAAGTAACGTCAGCATGTGCTGATAAGACGCATAATATTAAGAAAACTAGTATCTTTCTGAGGGAAGGCTCAGAATGCAAGAACTACTCATATTTCTTGTTCTCTCTTAGATATGGGAATAAGGATATTTTTTTTTCCTGGTCAAAGACTGATTTGCAATAAGGCTGCAACTGCACTTTCTGTTCTCCTGAGGTAAATCTCTTTCATCTTTTCTCTATGTCTAAGGCATTCATACACAATTAATGAAAATATATTTTATATATTTCTCAAAGTGAAAAAAGAATAACGTCTAGGAACGTGGTTGGGAGTAATACCCACATCATTTCGCCCCCCATTCTGTAGCTTTCCCTGTTTCATATTCACTTCACTACTCCTTGCTGATGCTTTCATTTTTTCACCGGGCATCACCCACTTGAAAACAGTCTGTGAAAGTCAAGTGAAAACACTTGAAATTCAGTCTGTCTCCCACCCCAATGTACAGGAAAGAGTGGAAATACCAAAGAAGCAACGCATGCATATTTATTCTCCCAATTTCCTCTCCCTCCCTAGTCTTTGATGCTAAATATGCTCACTTTGGAGGTTCAATTCTTGAACAGCCTCATAATCTTCCACTTGGAAGAAAGTCTGATAGATCTAAGAAAGAACAACAGAAGATTAACCAAAAACTCTTTGAGGGTCATTTATAATTTTTTTTAAAAAGCACAACAAAAAAGATTGTGGTCTTTGAGAAATTGCTCATTATTGTCATAGCATGTGGACAGCAGACTGTACTTTATCCTGTTATAATAGTTGTTTTGTAAAGAAAAGGTAAAGGTTTTCCCTATCCAATCAGTTCTGACTCTAGGGAGTGGTGCTCTTCTGTTTCTTAGCTGAGGGAGCCAGCGTTGCCTGAAGACATTTCCATGGTCATGTGGCCAGCATGACTATACACTGAGGCACTGTTAGCTACCTTCCCTTCAAAAGTGTACCTTTTTTTTCTATTCACATTTGCATGCTTTCAAACTGCTAGGTGGGCAGGAGCTGGAGCAAGTAACAGGAGCTCACCTCATTGCACGGCGCCTGGGTCTCGAACCCTGGATTGTCAGCTTTCCAGCTGAAAAGCTCAGCATCTTTAACCATAGAGCCATCATTTGTGTGAAAATGTATAAATATGTTTGCAACATGCATATTTATTTAATTATACTTAATTTTTCCTCATGGAAGGTGCAGATTCTCTTTTGGGTTTTTTCTGTTCCATTCTGTTTCCAAATAAAGTATGAATGGCATTGTTTTTATGTAATTACCCTGTTTCCCCGAAAATAAGATCCAACCAGAAAATAAGCACTAGCATGATTTTTTTCAGGATGCTCGTAATATAAGCCCTACCCCAAAAATAAGCCCCAGTTAAGATCGTCAGCAGACAGAGGCGTTTAGTACTCTATTTCCCCCAAAATAAGACCTAACCAGAAAATAAACCATAATGCATCTTTTGGAGCAAAAATTAATATAAGACCCGGTCTTGTTTTGGAGGAAACACGGTAACTAATAAAGGCAGACATTGTTCAAAAGTGTGCTTCCCCTTCCTGTTTCAGTATTTAGCAAGAGAATTAAAACATTCTTAATAAAAACAGCTGGGGGGGGGAAGTGAAAAGTGTCAATATTTGTACTGATATTGCCAGTCCATGATTGATAATGTCACAGCAATTTATTTATCCATCATTTTCAAAAGGTCTTAAAGAATCTTCATCCGCTCAACCCCCACAGGAAATATAGAGCTCGGCAATACTCATTTCATGCCAACTGAGAACTTTTCCCCTTTGATAAACAAGTAGCAGCTGTTCATTCAGCCCTATAAACTCTCTCTAGAACAATATAAAAACATAAATAGGTATAATCCACCTGTGCAAATCTTGTCAAAGTGGATGAAAGTTCCTAGAAAACAATGCCAGCTACTAGGATTGTTCCAAAATAGATTCACAAGTAAAACATTACTGGGAAAAAATGCAAAATATATCCTCAGATAATAACATTCTGCCACAGAACAAAACACTATCTATAAACAAAATCAGAATAACGTTTAAAAAAATAACAACTGTGAAATAACACAGCCTGCAGCTGAAAGGACAGTTACGATAAATATCTTTGTAACGTGCCAGAAGAAGAGCAAAGACAGCTGGATCATATGTAAGTCTATCTAGCCCAATATTTTGTTCCCACGGTTGCCAAGTAGATGTCTCTGGAAAGAACACAAGCAGAACATGAGTGCAGGGACATCTTTCTACACTTTTTCCCAACTATTGGCACCAAGATGTACATTGCCTCCATTTATGGAAGGCAACATATAGACATTAAAACTAGCAACTATCAGTATCTTATCTTCCATGAATATTTCTATCACTATGCTTTGTAATTTTAAATAGATACAAAAATCTTTATTGTCATTTTTTTCTGTGGGTCTCTGGCCCACATTAAAAATGAAATTCTGTTGCCTGCTCTCAAAAATGTACACATACATAACACACATATAGAAATGCTATATACCTACATATGTATATACCTACATCCTAACATATAAATACATATAAATACTAATCACTGTCCATCTTTAATACATAGCGGAAAGAGGAAGTTTGAGAGTTCACAAGGTTGATTCTGTATGGAACAAAATTGTGGCTGAAGTTGGATGATCTGCGTCGGATACCACAAAGTTTTCTCCCAGAAGGTAGCAAAGAATGTCACTATTTCTAACTTATCCTGATCAAGATGCACTTCTCCATATTTATCCTGAATTTCCTAGGTTTCAGTGAAGCATTCGGTTTCTTTGGACAGCACTTGTTTATTCTATGGTATGATTAAACTCCTTATTTTTTTTTCCTCCAAAGGGCCCTTAATTTCACGTTTTCTGTCGTAGTCTATTCTTGATTCCTTATGCTTAACATTTAGCCCCCTTCTGCATTAGATTGTTTTTGAAGAAAAGTTTCTGAGTCATGGTAATGGAACACTATGTGGTATTGCAAGTGGTTATACAGTAAATAGCATTGCTTTTTCTGGTAAATCAAAGCCAGGTCACAACCAACCTGTATATAAATGGGAGTTTGGTTTGTTATTTCACTTGTTAACCCTTAATATTGAACTGCAATTAACAAAACAACATTTATATCTCTTCAATTCCAATTGTTTGTCCCTAACCATATAATTTAGGAAAAAAATAAATAGCACTAACTGCAATAAAAATTTATTCTGTTGGAAGAACAGAGAAAAGATCACATGTTCTAAATTGGGAACAAAAACCTGGCTATGTGTAGGAACTGCCTTAAATGGACATAAACCATTGATTTTTCTAATCTAGCATTTCCCATCACTCATTTTGGATGGAAAAACTTCCAGCTATGATTCCCAGTATATTTTAATGGAAATTCATGCTGTGTTACTGTATCTTAAGAAAGGGATCAATAACATTTTAGGAAGAAGGTATCATTGTACAATTTTGTGCAGTGTTGTGAGTGCCAAAAATACATTTTAAAAAATAAATATTAAAATTAAAAAAAATCAAAATAAAATACAAGTTTTACAAATGTAATATTTTGATATAATGAAGAAGCTTTTTTCCTACTCCATCCCTCAGAACTTCAGATTTTCCTAGATTTATTTTTTTCCCGATTCCTAACATTTCTCTTGAATAGCAATTTTAATATGTTTAAATAAGTTACTATTGTGTCAATGACATATTAGTTGAGATATTCATTTATGTAATTTCCAGGTGAGTTATAGATGGCAATCATTGTCAAATCTTAATTAATACTGCATAGAGCTACAAATATATAATTACTCATTAATGTGACCATATTCATCTGCAAATCAAGGAAAAGTCCATGCTACGTCATTAAATCACGACATCTGTGAAGACAGCTTTCACTTTGAAGAAAATGAATTTTACTTACTTGGTAGAACACAGGTTTATAATTAGTTGAGAAATTTTGCAAGAGGTCATCACCAGTATAGTCTATAGGAAGGTTTTCCACACAAAGGCACTTTGAATGTATGAGTTCTGAAGTTATTTGATTAGCATCCATCCACTGTGCAAAAAGGACATTTTCACCTAATGATTTCCCAAGAAGGTCCAATCTAGCCTTTGCTGCAGAATCTTTTTTCATGTATTCCACAAAACCATAGCCCTTGGAATAGCCCGTGACTTCACTGTATACCAAGAAGTGTCTCTCAACATTCCCATAAGGTCGCACTAGCTCTTCAAACTCTTGTAACGTATAGAAAGGGGGCAAATTGGTAATGCAGAGCAGGGCATCGGTTGGCTGAAGCTGCAGTGATATTTCTTTTCCTCGGAGGGAATGTTGGTGAAATAGCCGTATTGCACTCTGAGCTTGCTCCCCATTCAACAGAGTAACAAAAGCTGAAAAACAGCAAATCAGACAAAAGTTTTATGTAAACTCCGTGACTGGATTGGGTTTTAAGCTCTTGGGAACTATCAAGCCTTGTGATTTCTAAGCTCAAGGTGTCTTGAAACTGATATTATTTCACAACCCTTTCACAGAAAAAACCCATTTCTCTGCATTCTCCATTTCAGCTATTATGACTTAGGAAAGGTAGTGTTATTTTCTTCTGGTTTTTTTTACCCTCAACTGTGCTATCACAACTTTTTTGTTTGCTGTTGGACTAAGAAAAGCCCAGTAATTTCGTAAAGATTAGTTGACTAACTTTTGTGAAACTCCAATATATGCAGAAGGCATAACATGCAACACTGTGATAGTATTGATTTTAATTTAAAATCAATATTACAAATTCACGATATTAGCCATTTTCTTTCACTAAAGAGTGGAAACTTGGCTCAGATGGATCCTCTCCATTGGACTTTTTCAGGATTTTCTACTCTTCCCATCATTTCCTGGTGATTCACCAGAAGGTCAAGAGGTGGAACCATCTCAAGATCAAATTCATGGGATGTATAGATGGGATGGGATGGTGGTGGAGCACAGTACAGAAGAAGGAAAGAAAACCTTTTTATATGACCATTGCATTGGCCAAAAACATACAATTTGCAGTTTTATGATATGACATTTTACGATCAAAGTATAAAACAATGCTGATTTTTAAAATAAAATTATATTCATGTTTTAATACTCTCAGGCAAATTCTGGGAATAAACCAAATTCTAAACTAACATTAATGTCTGTTCATTCTCCTCAGGTATACATTCCTCCTCATTACGTTTGGTTAAAAACTGGCATGATGTCATTGGAAGGTAAAAGTGTTGCCTGGCACATATAACCTTTTAAAGTTATTGCCTACATATCATATTTCGATAGACTTTTCCTGAAATTCAATTCCAGAAAGCTCTGGTTTCAGGATTATTGTTTAAAACCAAAAACATCTTTTATTCCTGCATGCCTATTAATCATCTGTTTCTACTGAACACTAAAACTCAAGTGGAAGCAAAATAGAATGGTAAGACAATACTACTGAGAATCAGGAATGTTAACATCTTCTTTCAAGCCTGAATAATCAAAGGTTATACTATCCTGTAGTCTACTCAAGAGGTTTACTAAATAAAATATAAACGGAAGTCTCATAGAGGAACTGGTTACAATGAAAGGCAAGTTTCTTATATCAGAGCTGTGCAACCGAACTCTTAAAGTCCTTTCAAAGTTATAGTTAAAATGACTTCTGAATATAGCATGAGAACATTTAAAAAACGTAGGAAGTAATTCTTTTAATAAAGGCTCATAACAGCTATGTGGGCACAACCATAATTTTTTTAAACAGCAATACACAATTCATTCAACTTCCTAGTCTAGATTACTACCTTTGAATTCCAGAGGTCTTCTAAGTTCTAATCAAGTCTTAAAGTTCTAAGAACAGCCAACAAGCAATCATATTACTATTACTTAATTTAATATAATTTTTTTTATCCTATTCACATTCTTGTTGGAATTCATCCCCAATATGTCAATCAAAGACCAAACAAGTCATCATCCTGGAAAATGTTTTTTTTTTTCTTCCATTTAATCATGTCTAATTTTCGGAGGCTGTCTGGATAAATCTCTACAGTTTTCTTGGCAAGGTTTTTCAGAAGTGGCTTGCCGTTGCCTCCTTTGAAGGGCTGAGAGAAAGTGACTGACCCAAGGTCAGTCTTTGTGCCTAAAGCGGAACTCAAACTCACAGTCTCTTGGCTTTTAGCATGATGCCTTAACCACTATACCATTTATATACAATCCAGATTTATTTGATATAAAACTCTACTGGAAACTCTACCTTATGGAAATACAATGGGAAAGAAGAATCACTCCAAATCAGGCAGCATATTTTGGATTGTAGGCAAGGTTTTCAGTGCCAAACAATTCTTCATTTCCATTACCTCCCTATAAAATACCACTCTGATATCTATTATGTCCCCTGGAGAGGAGTTTTAAAAAGTCTGGCAGGGGGGAAAGGAGGAGGAGGAGGATTATTCTTGTAGAAGTTGGCCTTGACACTGAATATCATCCTAAACAAATAGATTCAAATTATTTTTTCTCATAGTAATATTCAAAAAGCTAACAAGAGCAGTTTACAAAAATAGTGTCAGTTAATTTTGATAGTTAAGTTACCCACCATAACTGTCCAACTGTAACAATGGTAGACAATAACTTGCACTTCAGAAGTTCTGGACTACAACTCCCCTGTTTCAACTATTTATTGCCTCCGAACTGTAAAAGGCTTACACAATTTTAACCATCATTGAATTCTATTCTCATGTATCAATAATGCAAAAGCACTTTAAAATGGATTGTCACTCATTAATTTTTTAAACAAAGATTAAAATTCCTAGTAACCTAATAATTACAAAATTCAATGTAACATTAACTTAGAGGCAAGATTTGCCATTGGTGAGATAGGCAGCTATATAAATTTGATCAATAATAATTTGCTAATAGAATTTCCCCTTCAGCACACTCAAATTATTGACACTGAGCAATTAAATTATGAATATGCATTTCTAAACTGATCCCTTGTAAAATAAATATTATAGGCTGAAAATTTGTCCCTATTTTTTTTTAAAAAAGAGTTTCCAATGTTTCCTAACCCCTTTCAAATCCAAAATAGAACGTATTATAAATTTTTTTATTGTAATGTTTATGTAAGAGTATAACTTCAGATTTAATCATGTTAGACTGACTCAAATATATTTTTTGTTTGCCATTGTTTGTTATTCAAACAAACTTGTACAATATGATTTGTGCATATTAAGAAAAGAATCAATGTGCAAGAAATGTGCAAGAAAAAAATATGAGGTAAATGTCAGTTTCTGACACACACACATAAGCACACTAAAGCAACAATTTAATTAAATTGTTATTAAATTAAATTGTTATTAAATTGTGAAATCTAAAATTAATCAAAATAGCCAAATCTATTAGCATAAATATTATATTGCAAGTTTTTACCTGTTCTTTTATGTTTGTCCACATAGCAATACTTCAGCTCAAAGTCTTTTAATAACTCATGGATTTCCTAAAAGAAAAACAATACATGATTAAATACAAACTCAATGGAATGATTCTTTTTATTTCAGCTTAGAGACTTGAAAACATTCCAGGTAAAAATTATTCTGGAGACATGCTGCCAGAAAATATTAGTTAAGTATTAATATGAGCATGATGCAATTCAGCAGTAAGCAAGACCCTCTGAACAGCTGAATTCAAAACATCTTATTTAAAAAATGCCAACATTTGCCAAAGATTAGCTTTCAAACAAAAATTTGAAGTTGAAAGGCATTTCCTCACAGTGATATTTTCTGTCAGCTACATTATATGTTCTTTGGAGAAAGAGAATACCAGAAATACCAATCCTCAAAATCTAAACTTAACCACTCATGTTTCATGAAATGTATGAAATTAAAGCTCAAGCCAATTAACTGCCACAACATCTGCTACCAGAATTTAACATCGTTTGACATATCAGTATTGAATTTTGAAAACCTGCTTATTATTGTGAAATAAGGCTGCATAGCAGTAGAAAAATTCCCCCCATTTCTATTAACTTTCTCTTCTGCTGTAAAGCATTTTTCGTCCTCTATAATTAGTTGTATTGTGCAAATCCTCATGGAATACAATAACTAGCATCTGCATCCTGTTTCTCTAGTGTATTGATAAGAAAAGGATCAGCAGAGAAAAACATTTCAATGCTGCAGTTTCCAGAGCTAGGCTTCCGGCTAAATATTGATTTTATACTGAGTCCATAATTCATAAAAGTCACACTTATACCATTATGAATTACCACTGTTATTGTTATATAGACTGGTGTACTTGTTGCAATTCATGTGATTAACATAGTCATGGTGATAATATTAAGATAATTCTAGAAGGAATATTATTATTTTTTAATTGATTTTTTTATTGGAGTTACATTCTACCTTTTCTCCAGACAGACAATTGGGAAATGTTCTTTAATCTTATCTCCATTAGAAGTTTTGGAAGACTGGGTTGAAAAAGAATGACTAATGCAAACCCACCAGATGAGTTTCCATGATTTAATGTGTTTGGGTTCTCTCTAGTCTTTGTCCATCACTTTAACTATTAAAACATCTGTCTTTTTTATGTGGGTTGGGCCTGAGCTTTAAAGTTTTTGATTGACAAATTATGTACCATCAGGTCAGTGTCACCTTTTAGCAACCATATAGATTTTCTCCATGGTGAGCCTGGTTCTTCATGGTAAGCCTGGTTCTTCAGGTTTTCCAATGGTGTACCCATCAGACCTCTAACTGAGTTTATCCAGTTAATCTCAAAGATAAATGATAAGATACAGTCAAATCTGACTTTGATACTCAGCTTCCACTGAAGTAGAACAAACAGCACTCTGTTCTACTGAGAATACAAAATTTCAAACGTTACAGTAATTTCAAAATTTGTATCTTTCTTATATTTGTTAGTTTGTGTGATTATGAATTGGATGAGAGTCAACCTCATCTGAAGTCCAGGAGAGAAAAGATAGTAAACAGTAGAGCAGCCTTACTTGATAGTTTGTTTATACCATCTTGTAAGTAACCTGGACCCCATCCTTTAGTTAAAATAAGCAATAAATATGTACTTGGATTTTATCACATGTCATTAGTGTTGTTGAGGATTGGAAGTTTTGTCTCTTATTTTCTTTCTGCTATTAAATTACAGTGCTGAAAACTTCTGCTTTTGCCACAGTGCAATCTGTGGCTGCTCTGGGTGTTGCAAAATGGAGGAATTATCTATTGGCTACCGCCTCTTTATATACCTTATAGGTATGTCTTTACTGAATTAAGTTTTTATGTTATATATTCTGTTTTAATAGAGGTCAATACACAAATGGCCTGGTTAATAAATGGTGACTTATTTTTGTAAAGTGATATGGCTCATTAAGCTGTTTAGTGCTCTTTGATGAAATTCCATTTCATCAAATGATCATTATTGTTCACCAGATACTTTTTGTGCCAACAGACAATGTAAGTTGTTTTATACTCTGTGTTTCTTGATTTGTTTTGGCAACTAGAAATCCTAAAGTCAGTTGCTACACAGTTGTGATTTCTTGATATTATATGTCATTTTGGTCACGTTTGCGTTTGTAGATTGGATAGATTGCAATTTAACTGAAATGACACAGAAGCACCTATAATAAATGAATTAGTAATCTTGAGGTTTAGAGAAACAAAGTCTGTACATCTTATACTTAAGATAGGCAATTTGAAAAAGTTGGAGAACGATTTCCAGAAGCGAAAATGACAGGAACTATCTATTAAAAAGTCTGTAAAGATTCTCAGTCATCCAGGTCATGGTTGTCCCATGCCTTTTTCAGGAGGCAACTGGACTTTCTTTGAAGACATTTCACTTCTCATCCAAGAAGCTTCTTCAGCTCTGACAGGATAGTGGGGAAATGTATATAAATCCTTGCATTCTTCACTATGCTGTCAGTGCTGAAGAAGCTTCTTGGACGAGAAGCGAAATATCTTCAAACAAAAAAAAGGAAGTCCTCCTGAAAAAGCACTTTTGGGACATCTGTTAAAAAGCTTAGGAGATATCTGGTCAAGAGTAGTTGCAGTTCACAGAATACAAATAAACTAATTTGTTTTCTTATTCAACAGTGTTAGCAAAATAAATTGTATTTCGGTTAGATTGGATTTGGATTGAATTGGATGAGGTTAGGATACTTGAGTTGAGAATAGGTTTTCACATGCAAAAATATGACTGTGTGTGATAGAATACTAAAGTAAAAGAATGGGCAGCATTAGTTCAGATTAAGAAGCACATTTAAATTTTGTCAAATGCAAGAGTTATGCTAGATTTCTATTGTTAGGAATTTTTAAATTTGAGTTGTTTCAAAAAATATGCTCCCTTGTGGTCCGTATTTAAGTACCGGTATGTACAGATTTATTTATTTATTTGTATGTTTATTAGTATTAATTTTACACCATGTCTTTTTTCTTATATATGCACTCAGAGCAGTTTTATAATATTTCAACCACTTAAGAAGAATCAGTACAAACAACATTAAAATCAATAGTATCAATAACTAAAGTTTGATACAAGAAATAAATTTCTGCCATTTGATCATTTCCTAGATGCTGGGAATATGAGAGCTAAATGCATCTCTCTGGAAAGAACATAACCGGGCAGGTTCCTAACAAGACCCTAAATCATTTAAAAAATAAATAATAAACTAATTAAGCAAGCAAACAAGTTCATATACAGTATTTTGAGATTCTTTGTTTATAAAAATAAGCTAAATGTTGTATAGTTTCTAATTAGGATAACAATCCAAAAAATGGCCAGAATTATACAAATGTCCACATGTGCAAGCTGAAGAAACTTGGTCATATTGCAAGGAGGGCCAAAAAATGGTGGGAAGATCCTCAGTCTCTGATGACAACTAAACCCATTCGTACTTTGAATAACTCCCATTATAAGAGCGTAGCAGAAAAACAATACCTACTCCAAGTACTGATATGATCAAGTTTCATTATCAATGAATTATGATTGGGTAAATGCACTGTATTAACCAATGGTTTGTTTAACCATGATCTACTGAATAAACAACAACTGATTCGGTTTACATAGCATGCTAAATTAAACCCTGATTTAATTAGCCTATGCGACATTAAAAAACAACACCAAATAAAAAATGTTGTCTGAGTGTGTTGTGTGACTTAGCTTGTATTGTTACAGATTAAGTGCATAGTGAAAAGCTGAAACTTTAATCAAAAACATTGCTTATCTAATAAAAATATATAAATGTATATAAACTTGATAGATAGATAGATAGATAGATAGATGATAGATAGATAGATAGATAGAGAGATAGATAGATAGATAGATAGAGAGATATTTTATGTTCATTCCAGCATAACCAGAATACACATTTTACTGCATATCACAGACACAATACAGAAATCACATCAGGGAAAAATGGAAAGAAGGAGACAAGCTGTATATTACCTATTAGAGAGCAGTTCCAAAGTTAGTATTCATACCTCAACACATAATTTTGGAGAGAAGTACATGGAATCCTGGCTTTACCGTCATTCATTTAGTGACCATTCAAAGTTACAAAGGCAGTGAAAAAAGTGACCAATGACTGTTTTTCACACTTACACTGTTGTAGCATCTGCATGGTCACATGATCACAATTTGGACACGTGGCAACTGGCATGTATTTATGAGGGTTGCAGTGTCCCTGGGTCATGTGATCACCTTTTGTGACTTTCTGACAAGCAAACTCATCGGGGAAACCAGATTTACTTAACAAATATGTTACTAACTTAACAACTGAAGTGATTCACTTAACAACTGTGGCAAGAAGGGTCGTAAAATGGCAAAACTCACTTAACAACTGTCTCAGTAATGAAAATTTTGGGCTTAATTGTGATCGTAAGTCAAGGACTACCTGCAACAACTTAATGACATTATTTTTGAAAGGAAAACTGGTGCAACCAAGAGTAATGTATCTTACATTTTTTTCATGTATCACATCCTAGTAGAGATAAGGCTCCTAGAGCCTACATGACCAGTTTTATGTATACTAACTAAAAGTACCTTTGATGCCAACGATGGTATATTGTCTACACATATGCACATCTTCAAGGTCATATGCATATGCCTCCAGATACAGTTCTAATAAACGAACGACCTGAGTCCAAGATCATAATGCACTCTTGTTTTGCCAATCTGCTAATTCAATATATGTAGTTTAATGGCAGGATCAAGTATCTTCTTTTTAGTCAAATTGAACACTGGTCTCTTATTTCATCGGTTAACAGCTGTCAAATGCCATGTTAATAAAACATGATGCTGCTTTTTGGAGGATCTACGCAGTGATACTATGTTATTGCTCTTATTCAGTAATCGACCAGACCTGCCCAATTTCCTATGAGAGGGCAGAATTTTAAAAGAGAAAGGGAAATCTTATTTGCAAAGTTAGGAGTTAAAAATGCTTTCCATGAAAGGCAATTACAGAACAGCTTCTTGATGCTATGATGAACTATTTACTATTTAAAGACATGCCTGAAACTTGCATAATGGACAACTGCTTTTGTTACCATGTATCATTCTTCTGAGGATAGTCCATCAAATAAAACAATATCCAGCTGACATCTATAAAATCAAATGTTAAAAAGGGATTAACAAAGTACATTACACTTATCTGCTAAGTTTATTTTTAGATCATGGAAAATACACTCTGCTACTCAGCAACTCTCCGTGTAATTAAATAATGTTGTACAGCTTGGTAGTCATTGTGTTTTTACAAATATAGCTGTCAGAATCTCCAACTCTTGAACTGCAGATTGCCTGTTTTATTTCAACAGTTCCAAATAAGGGACCATAAGAAATCAAGGATTGTATCTCAGTGTGATATGCTTGTAGAAAAATACCATATAAAGTTCTCATATTCTTTGAAACAAACCGGGATATAAACTAATGGATGATGGAGAAACACAACAAATGTCAAATTATTTATTAATATTTTTAGAGTTTATACTTGCACAGAACTACCTTACTGGTACTTTTTATACTTCCTTTTTTATTCTACTTTTTATACCTACTTTTTTATTCTCATGAGCTATTATGAACAAGGAGAAGAAAATTTCCAAAGTCACTTGGGAATTAGGATGTTAACTCTATTCCCTTCAGTACAGCTCTACCCATTTTAGAGTCTCAACTGTGATTTATGTATGTATTTGTTTGTTTAAATTATTAACATATTGCATTTCATTTATACATAGATCAAGTGGTAGTTATTGTAGTGGTATAAAAGAAAAGTAATCCACAAAATGTGGCCTTAAGGAGCAATTAATCAGCTACTCAACCAGGCATTTGGGATAAAAAACATTATATTAAGTTAAATAGGTTAAATGCTAATAGACACACTCAGGAAAAAACTTACAGGAAAAAGACGAACATTTTTTTCCATTTCAAAGCTAAACTATTTAAATATTACAAAGGGAGAAATCTCATGTATACAATAATTATTATTATCCTACTTAAAGATCCTTGGAGTGCTACTTATTGCTATACTATGTGAGGTTCCTCAGTGCCCTAGGGAAATAATAAGATAAGCAATATCAAAATTATATAATTCTACCTTTTGTGAACCAAAACCACAAATCATTTAAAGAAATGCAGCTGGGCAATAGTGACCTTCAATTTCATTTTTGAGCCAAATATTTTAATTATTTTAAAAAACCCAATATTGAAAATGAGCAAAAATATAAAATAATATAGACTGTATTTCAGCAACTCATAATGTATTACGTTATATATATCAATAATGTATTACAATATTATTTTCTGAATTTTTTTGTTTATATTCGTTTCTATCATAATTAAGATTTTTGCAACCAAAATAAAACCCTATATTAAAACAGAACATTTTCCAAACATTTCTTAAATGCATATTTAGCAATATATAGATATTTACGGTATCTCAAATTCTATTATTCTAAAAATACAACTACCTATCTCTAAAGCAAATACTATTAATAAATTATCTGCCATTGATGCTTTAATAGTAAGACTGTATACAACGCAAGGGGAGACACTGCCTATGTCAATATTGTATTTTCTATATTGCAGAAAAGGGAGTTGAGAGACAACAACTTCCTTGAGACCATTAGCAACCTTTTCAGATTACAGGTGACTTTTCATAATCTTGCAAGGTAGCAAGAATAACCATCTTTCTATGAGAGATTCAGATAATATATTTGGAATCTTTTTAAATTTATCCACACAACAATAGAATGGCCAGAGAGAAAATAAATGATTCAAAGTCATCCAGCAAGCTTCAAGTTCAAAGGGTACTTAAACTTGGATTGGAAAATCCAGGTTCAGCACTTTTAGCTATGACACTACACTAACTGTACCTTGTCTTGCATTTTTGTAATCAGCTATGAGAATTTATACAAGAATCTGGTAAAACATTTAACATTGTTCTGCATTCTGAGAACCCAAGTAGTCATTTAGACATGTCTCAGAGCTCTCTCCCTCCCTCCCTCCCCACTCTCCCTACTTATCTATTTATCTATCTACCATATCTACCTTATCTCTCTCTCTATCCATCTATTATCTATCTATGAATTCATATCTATCTATCTATTTATCTATCTATCTATCTATCTATCTATCTATCTATCTATCATCTATCTACCTACCTACCTATAATTTATTTGCCACCCTCTCATGGTTCAGTAGACTCTTTTTTTAATTTATTCATCAGTTTGTATTCTGCCTCAATCACCAAGTAACCATGAATTTTTAATAAAGATTATATTAAAACTGGAACTTCCTGATTTTTGCTACATATTTTCAGAAAGATTTCTTTCCTTGAATTATACAATTTCAGCATAAAATGTAAGAATATTTTTAATTTCTGACTTTTCAGAACTAGAAAAAGAAATACTTCACAGAAGATGTAACATCAAATTGTTGCAATCATTATTATTTAAGTTAATAGGTCAGACAATGGAGTTAATGGGGGGGTTTCTACCCCCTTTATGTCTCTTTTTGCCCATTTCCGCTGCTTCAGTCTGTTCCCTGCTGTTATATATTTGTTAGAGTTATGTGACATTTTCCATCAAGGAGTTTAACCTGGAATAAATATCGTTTCGTCTTCCATTTATGCACATAACAAATTTATAAGACTGGTCGTGCCAAGACTGGGCCAAAGTTATCTAGAGTGTTTGAAAGAGAAAAATGGATTTGAGCCTCCTCTATTCCAACACAACATCTTAACCATTAAACAGACCAATATTGCCACATAAGTGTTAAATTCTTGTGTCTTTCTGGGCCAATGTGTCCTTAAGGGCCTCTGGACAGATCTACCCATAGGGATTCTTTTCTATATATATGCATCTGGTGGTTTGTCTGCCAGTGCTCCCCCTACCCCCATGCATTTCATTAAAGCAGAGAAATTCTCAAATGAACAACATACACAAACCATCTACAATGTGTACCTTTGGGACACTCTTAAAACAAGATTGCATCAGAATTCAAACTAATCCCATGCGTACCTATTTGAATTGTCATGATTTCAATAGGAATAGACTTGTCTTATTTGTTTATGTACAATGAGATTATAGTTATAGATTTTGTAAAAAAAAAAAAAACTGTACATTTCCTTGTTAGATCAAAAACTGCTAAAGGAAAATGAATCAATCATGCAATATGCACAAGAGGGAAAAACATGTGCTTTTTGTCTTATATACAACTCCAGCACTTCTTTTGGGGCAGCAATTTTCTCACAATATCTAATTGTGATTGTCTTCCTCTGGCTTTAATCACACACGCACATGTGTACAACATATATTAATTTTATATGATGGATTAAAGTATGTTTTTGAAATAACAGGAAACAACAGTCTGTCGTAACTATGTATACAATGAAATTTCATTTTAATCTATGCCAGTTAGCGTACATTTAAAGTGACAATAAAATTATTCTAACTATCATCTGAAGTGGTGTAGTAATAGTGCAAGATTTAGTTTGCTATGAATTATTTGTTCTTATTTCTGGTCAATATTTAAATCCATATTCAGGAAAACAATTTTGATAAAGAATACACTACAGTACCATATGAGTGTTTTCAGATCTCACAGGTAATAAAAATGCAAACATCTGGCAAATAACTCTTCTTTTTT